TTAGTAAATAAATCCAATATCTCCTTACTATTTCCCCCTGACACATTCATGGTAATTACTTTTGCCGGTGCTTTGCGGCAAGCTTAAGGCTATTGCATGCATTTGAACGCAGATCTCTTCAGCTGCGCTGACTGCACGCATGCTGCTGCTGCTGGACACTAAGCACCGTCGAGCCGCTCTTGACAGTTGCGGTAGCACGGTCTCGTGTTGTTTCCACCAGCGCGGCAAAAAAAATAAAAAGTTCATCACTAATTGATGGATGTCTAAAATCTAAAAATAAGGAGAAGCCTAAAACAAGCTCAATGCCCGGCCCGCATCTTAACTATGACGTAAAAATTGTACCGAAGGCCGGCCCTAGGGGCATAAAAAAGTCGAGGCCCGTTGGGCCCGGGCTGAAATGCAGGGCTTTAGTTCAGACAAAAGGAAACACCCATACTATGCAGCAATCATCCTTAATTGCAGAAATGTGGCAAAACACCTCTGGAGAGAACCTCAGATTATTAAATTCGAAAGTGCTTTCCATATTTGGATCAACATAGGCTACATTTGTGAACGCACATTTTCTGCAATGTCGCGTGTCTTACAGACTGCAACTTAACAATCGCAACTTCATTGTGCTGTTACTCCTTTCGAGTCGAATTTCTCAAAATTGGTCAGCTCACGACAGCATCAGGTGTTTTATTAATGGTGAGTATAATTATTTATTTATTTATTTCAATGAATGTAATCGATTAGATATCATAATATTTAGGCTATGTAGGCTATTATAAATCTGGTTGGTTTGTATTGACATAATATGTAAATGATATGTGTGCGGCCCGTGAGACTTGCACTTGGACCATAGTGCGGCCCAGTGGGAAAAAAGGTTGAGAACCAATGGATTTGAATATTAGAAATATTAGAAATGCATTAGTGTGTTATGTGTAAACCAGGTTAAAGAGATGGGTCTTTAATCTAGATTTAAACTGACAGGGTGTGTCTGCCTCCCGAACAATGTTAGGTAGATTATTTTAGAGTTTGGGTGCTAAATAGGAAAAGGATCTGCCACCCGCAGTTGATTTTGATATTCTAGGTATTATCAAATTGCCAGAGTTTTGAGAATGCAGCGGACATGGAGGGCTATAATGCGATAAGAGCTCACTCAAGTACTCAGGTGCTAAACCATTCAGGGCTTTATAAGTAATTAGCAAGATTTTAAAATCTATACGATGTTTAATAGGGAGCCAGCGCAGTGTTGACAGAACCGGGCTAATATGGTCATACTTCCTGGTTCTAGTAAGAACTCTAGCTGCTGCATTTTGGACCAGCTGGAGTTTGTTTATTAAACGTGCAGAACAACCACCCAATAAAGCATTACAATAATCTAATCTTGAGGTCATGAACGCATTAATTAACATTTCTGAATTTGACATTGAGAATATAGGTTGTAATTTAGATATGTTTTTGAGATGGAAAAATGCAGTTTTACAAATGCTAGAAACGTGATTTTTGATAGCAGCAAAGATTGCTATCCAATAGCACACCTAGGTTCCTAACTGATGTTGAAGAATTGACAGAGCAGCCATCAAGTGTTAGACAGTGTTTTAGGATATTACTAGGGCTGCCCCCCAATAGTCGACTAATCATTAGTCATCCAGAAGAGGCTTGGTCGTCCAAAATTTTATTAGATGCTTAGTTGCAGAAAAAAAAGATCCACGGGCGAAGTCATGCAGTCCATGATGGACAGATCGTTAACGGCTAGTCTATGGTAATACAGTACATCGACGGGCAGGACATCCAAATGCTTGACTATCATTCACTGACGTCTCAAATATGGCTTATCATCTGAAATATGTAAGTATTAACAACTTTACATGGCCTCTCAATCTAATGTTAACCTAGAGAAATGTGCGCTATTCAAGCGTCTGTGCGGAGTGTAGAAGCTGAACATTAGCGCTCACTGCAGGACAGATGGAGGCGCTGGTGCACTCACTTGATCTTAAAATAATCCTCATTTTTGGTCATACAGATAAGAGTAATACATCTTTCAAATCTGTAAAGACTTTTTGTTTATTTGTGTGCACTCACAATACCACGCTTTTGTAAAATAAAGAAAGCAAACTTGATGTGCTTTCTGCCGTCTCGGTCTGTGAACTTGAACGCGAAACTCTGTGTATATCTTTGCCTTACAGACATTAAAAATATATCTATAGAGAGTGAAATATCTACTTTCAAATGAACCAATTCAAATGGAAAACAAATTCTCAGATTATGTAATCTGTATGAAACATGAATACAGGTTCATCCACTACTGCGAATTCAGTGTCTCCAACTTAATCTCTTAATCTGAAAACAAAAAGCACTAGTTCATCAAATTATTAAAATGTTAATGCAGTCTCCTTACTATTTTTCTCTGAAATATTCATAATCATTACTTCTGCCGGTGCGCTGTGGCAAGCTTTATGCGTGTGCTTGAGCGCTTATTAGGCTATGTATGCAATTAAAGGCTCATTATAATGATTTAATGCAGCCTCCTTATCTGTTTTTCACAGTGACACATTCATAATCATTACTTCTGCCGGTGCGCTGTGGCAAGCTTTATGCATGTACTTGAGCGCTTATTAGGCTATGTATGCAATTAAAGGCTCATTATAATGATTTAAATGGTCTATTAATAAACGTGTGATTAGTCGACTAATGTTTCAAATGAACAACTACTAGTTGACCAGAAAAATCCTTAGTCGAGGGCAGCCCTAGTTATTACATGCAAAGGTTTTAGGTCAGATAATTAAAACCTCAATTTTTTTCAGAATTTAGCAGTAAGAAATTACTTGTCATCCAGTTTTTTATATCAACTATGCATTCTGTTAGTTTTTCTAATTGGTATGTTTAGCCGGGCCACAAATAAATATGGAGCTGAGGATCATCAGCATAACAGTGAAAGCTAACACTGTGTTGTAGAACACCGTGATATCTCCCAAGGGTAACATGTAAAGCGTGAAAAGTACTGAGCCTTGAGGTACTCCATACTGCACTTGTGATCGATATGATACCTCTTCATTCACTGCTACGAATTGATGGCGGACAGATAAGTCCCATTTGAACCATGCTAATGAACTTCCACTAATGCCAACAAAGTTTTCTAGTCTATTCAAAAGAATGTTGTGGTCGATGGTGTCGAACACAGCACTAAGATCCAGTAGCACTAATAGAGATACAACCACAATCAAATGATAAGAGCAGGTCATTTGTAACTCTAATGTGAGCAGTCTCAGTACTATGATACAGTCTAAATCCAGACTGGAAATCCTCACAGATACCATTTTTCTCTAAGAAGGAATATAATTGTGAGGATACTACCTTTTCTAGTATCTTTGACAGAAAAGGGATATTCGAAATCGGTCTGTAATTAACTTGATCTTTGGGGTCAAGTTGTAGTTTTTTAATGAGAGGCTTAATAACAGCCAGTTTGAAGGTTTTGGGGACATATCCTGATGACAATGATGAATTAATAATAGTCAGAAGAGGATCTATGACTTCTGGAAGCCCCTCTGTACTCAGACACCTCCCAAGATGGTCTCGATTTGCTTTAAAAAGGTCTGCAATATTATGGAGTGCTGACATAAGGACTGAACTCAATGGAACATGTTTAGACGATATTTAGAGTAGCTGATCTTGTATCAAACGTGCCTTTGCACAATATAAAGTGATGCGTAGATCGTGGATTAATGTTTACGGAGTGCCATGACATGCTGTTAGTCTAAAGCTATGACTTCTGGGATCTGATCATGTCACAGTGATGGCACAGTGTTGAAAATTACATTTGAAAATCGTTGGTAATCCGACCAATAGGAACTTGATCTAGGATATGCTGGGTGTGGCACTTTTTTACAGTTGGAGCATCTTTGGATTGGATTATTTGCTTAGATTGACATGTCTATCATTTACCATACACTTAAAAAATGTTATTATACATTTAGGAATACTGCTTCAGATCTTCAGAATACCACATCAGATCATTAGAAATGCTTTCAGGATGTAATGGGACATTGCTTTGAACAGTAACGGCCTGGCGGGAATAAGGAAAAGAGCTGCATTTCTGTTTGTTTTCGTAGGAAATAGATTTTTGGGGCAGCAAACGTGCCTCGATCAGTTGACTGTCCCTTTTCCTATTTTTAGAATGGGAGATTTTCTGGATGAAAGTGGTTTATCTGGAATTTTGAGTAGCAGTTGAAATGGCTGGGGTGTGCAGATGCCTACCTGAAAGGGCAACCAGATTAAGAGGATCTTTGCGGAGCATTCTTCATTGGAGGTGAAGTGCTGGACTTTGTCGGGTTGGGACACTGTTCACAGGACAGGACAAGGATAAACACTGGAAGAATTGTTGCTGGGATGGAACCATGAATGCTGATTGATGATTGACAGGACTAAATGCTCATCCCAAACCTATGTTTGGAGCTTCACATCGTTGTCAGAGTGTGTGGGAACAAAAAAAGCATAAGCAGCTGTGTGAACATATTAGCAGCATTTGTTTTTGCTCCTCGGAGAATAAAAATGCCTGGCCTTCCATGTAATTTGGCACATCTTCTCTTGTATGCCACTCTTGTGAATTATGTCATTTACAAGAAATGTCTTCATTTTTGTAAATACTGCTTTGAATGGATAGGTAATGGGTTGAGTATTGTTAACACAAAGGTCAGGACCTTTATCAGACTTGCTCACATTTAAGCCAACCTTTTACTAAACTAGGAAAGATTTTTCTATGGTCCATTACATGATATATGGGGTCAAATAAAGTTGTTTTAGGTGTTGCCTGAAAGTAATATCGCTGCACCCTTGTCTAGACTGCACAATGATTGCTAAGCTCATAAAAGAAGTGGTAAAATAGTTATTAGCCTATTACCCAATTAGTCAATGAGCCACATCTCAATAGAACTGCACATAAAATCTTGAGGTGAGAGGCAGAATGCTGATCTGATGATAAAGGCTGAATATGCTGATATGTTTGTGCTCTCACACAGGGCTTGTCAAGATTAAAGAAGCAAGAGACATTGAGACAAAGCTAAATGAAGTGGAGCGACTGTTGAAGAATACCATTAACATGCCCTGGAAGGTGAGAGATCTAACTATTGACACCAGCAAGAAAAGGGCTTGTGTATTTGAGTGCAACAAACAAGAAACATCTCTTGTTATTTCTTTATTACATCTTGCCAGCTAACAGCTTAATTTAATTACCTGAACATCTTCCTGAATGGTTTACTGGAAGTGTTATCTTAAATTGCATACTAAAAGGATGTTTTCTCAGTTTTCTAGGTCAGAAGTTGTCTTAACATTCTTTGAACGCTCACAGCTTGACCAGGTCCTGAGGAACGACAGTGTCCACAAAATTCAGCCATGCTTTCAAAATCCAGTTAAGATTTCAGGTATAGGTTTTTAATGTTAATATGCTTGTTAATATTTGTAAATATTACAATATTATATTATAGTGTAATATTGTTAAAATGTAAGCAATAAAATTAATAGTGTAATTATTGTAATAGTGTTAAGATTTTAAGGGAACATTTAATCGTATAACACCCTGTCAGTTAAACTTCAGGAATATCAATCTGTACAGTTAGGAAGCATAAGTGATTGTGAATCAGTTTCACCTGCTTTGGTGCAAATTAAAGTGACAACAGGTGCACTGGAGAGGCAACAGCAAAACAACCCCCCAAAAGGAAATGGTTTTGCAGGTGATGGCTACAGACAATTGCTCTCTCCTCATCCTTCCTGACTGATTTGTCTCTAGTTCTATATTTTGTTAGAGTCCTTGTCACTCCTTGTAGCATTAGGCAGTACCAGCAACCAAAGTTTATTGTGAAAACTTTTTTTTTTCCCCACTTATTTCAAAAAGGGAAACTTTCATATATTCTAGATTCATTACATGTAAAGTAAAACATTTCAAAAGTGTTTTTGTTTTAATTTTGATGATTAGGGCTTACAGCTCATGAGAGTGAAAAATCCAGTATCTCAAAATATTAGAATATTTCCTAAGATCAATCAAAAAAAGGATTTGCAAAGCAGAAAAATTCAAATTCTTTAAAGTGTGTCCATTTATGCACTCAATACTTGGTCAGGGCTTCTTTAGCACAAATTACAGCATCAGTGAGGTGTGGCATGGAAGCTATCAGCCTGTGGCACTGCTGAGGTACTGCTGAGGCACTATTGAGCCTTCAGCTCGTCTGTATTGTTGGATCGACTGTTTCTTATCTTTCTCTTGAAAATATCCCATAGATTCCATATGGGGTTCAGGTCAGGCATGTTGGCTGGCCATTCAAGCACAGTAATATTATGGTCAGCAAACCACTTGGAAGTGGTTTTGGCACTGTGGGCAGGTGCTAAATTCCTGCTGGAAAAGGAAATCAGCATCTCCATAAAGCTTGTCACCAGATGGAAGGATGAAGTGTTCCAAAATCTCCTGGTAGATGGCTGCATTGACTTTGCAGGACCAACACCAGCACCAACACCCCAAATCATTACTGACTTCGGAAACTTCGCACTGGACTTCAAGCAGCTTGGATTCTGTGCCTTTCCAGTCTTCCTCCAGACTCCTGACCTTGATTTCCAAATGAAAGGAAAAATTTACTTTTATCTGAAAAGAGGACTTTGAACCACAGAGCACAGTCCAGTTATTTTTCTCCTTAGGCCAGGTAAGATGCTTCTGATGTTGTTTCTGTTTCAGAAGTGGCTTGGTACACTCCCAAGTGTTTGAATCGACTTTACTTGACAGTATTCTCAATCTTGCGGTCATCCCTGTTGCTTGTGCACCATTTGCAATAGGCATGGGCCGGTATGAGATTTTGATGGTATGATAACCTTAAGCAAAATATCACGGTTTCACTTTATCACCATATTGGTGTTACAGCTCTAAAATGTGTTAATTTGAAATGTCTGGGTAAAAAAAAAAAAATCTGAACACAACATATTTTGAGCAACATACAGAATATTTGGAACAGTAGTATTTGTTTATTTTTTCTTTGATTTGTTTCTGAAATATGGGCTGTCCTGCAGCTTTTGATGTGGATGGTTGATTTGCTTCTAGAGCTACTGCTGCCCTAAAAAGAAGAAAATAAAGACCGACATCTTTATTTTACCTAAATCTGTAATTACAGTTATTTAATTTTAGTTATATAATTCATATACATATCATTTCATATCATTTATTTATATAATTTCATATACACCATTTGAATGAATAATAACCCAATTTGAAGCAAAAACAGAATGTTCTGACTAGCTTTGTGAAATTATACTACATGCCTGAACGAAACAGCAGAAGCTCTGAATGGGACTCAGATTCACACTCTGACAGCAGGAGGCTCTGATACAGCGTTTCCTTGGTTATCGCAGTAAACAAAGCAGAGCTGCGCTGAAACACTGCTTTAATGTGAATTATACGAGATGAAAAGAAAATACCATCTAAACGTTTCTGAAGACAGTCAGTTCCCCTCAGAAACACATTCATATTAACCCCCAAATCAATATTTAGGATTTTATTCCAATAGTTCATGCATCATGAACAGTGAGGGATCTGCCTGCTACAGTATTTTTCTCTTTGCGTCCGTCTTCAGTATCTCTGGCCTCTGTTAATGGGCATTTACAGACTTCATATTTTCACATAAACGACATTTGGAAAATGATATGCATTGCAACGCAGTTTGTGCAAGTCCAGAACAGAGATCGGCTGCAATAAAACAATAAACGGCCGGTTGCCGATTGCGTAAGTTCCAGAGGAAGCTCCTTCGGCCATCATACACACGTGACTGACAGCTCGCTCGCACCAACAGGAGGAGGAGACGTTTTACTCTCTACACTGCACTCAACCTGAGGGATTCCTACACTTTCAGTCTTTGAGGAGACATGAAAAACAGCGAATACCGCAGGAACCGTATAACGGAAGATATTAGCGGTTTTGAAACCGTGACATTTTCAAATTGCGATATACCTTGAATCCGGTAATCGGCCCATGCCTAATTTCCAACCCAATTTCTTCCTTCCAGTCAACTTTGCATTTAATATGCTTTGATGCAGCACTCTGGGAACAGCCGCCCCTTTCAGTAATGACCTTCTGTGACTTACCCTCTTTGTGGAGGGTGTCAATTATTGTCTTCTGGACCATTGCCAAGTCAGCAGTCTTCCCCATTATTGTGGTTTCAAGGAACAAGAGAAACCCGGAATTTATACTGTAGGGATGGTCATTTAATGAAACTCAAATGTAGATATTCTAATATTTTGAGATGCTGGATTTTTGACTTTCATGATCTGTAAGCTGTAATCATCCAAATTAAAACAAACAAACAAGCAAACAAAAAACGTTTTAAATGTTTTACTTTAAATGTAATGAATCTAGAATATATGAAAGTTTAACTTTTTGAAATAAGTTACAAAAAAATATAAAAAAATTCACAATATTCTAATTTTTTGAGATGCACACAAAATCACATTTGAATGTGAAGAAATTTCAGACCATCAATGAAATGTAGGAAAATACGACAAGGCAGATTATGTCTATTACAACAAAGGATTTTGCAGACTGTTTTGAATAGTGGAAGAGATGCTGGGAGAACTGTGTGAGTTCCCAAGGTGCCTAATTTGAAGGGGGCTAATGTCTCTATTTTTTACATATTACTTGTACTTACCGTATTGGCCCGAATATAAGACAATGTTTTTTTCTTGGAAATACATCTGAAAAAACGCGGTTGTCTTATATTCAGGGTCTAGACTTTGACATGTCAATAATACACCCATAACCATAGGTGGCGCCAAATACACATAAAACGAGTGTGCCATGAAATATGTAATGTAATGCCTGTTGTAAAGATCGTGAGTAAAAACAAAAGAGAAAGAAAACCTTACAGCTGCATGAGTCATAACTGTCACGTTAGCCTGATGGGACCAAACTCCCTTTGTGATTTTAAAATGTAAGACAGTACCCAGATTTGAAGACTATAGTAAGATTTAACTTCTACTGTTAATAAGATTTTGGTAGGCTACTATTAGATGGACAGCCTAAATGTCCTAATTCAGATGGGCTACCGGTTTTTTTTTTTTTATGGTATATCAAAAACGTCTCAGGTTACTTATGTAACCATGGTTCCCTGAGTAGGGAACGAGAGCAAAGCATAACGTGCACACTTACCACCTATGTGGATTTGTAGAAAAGTGCGCAAAGCTTAACGTGTGCGCTTACCATAGTATTTGGATTTTAGAGTTTTCCAAGCATCTGTTTACAGATATCCGGAAGTACTGGGCCAAACGGGAGAGGCAAGCTCAAATACAAATTTGAGACTGCCCGAGACAGCATTTACACAGGAAGGTTCTCATAATGCCACCTATACCTCCCGCTCGATGACGCAGCAAGAGGGGATATCCTGGTGATCGGGAAGCCCCTCAGGGCAACCCAGATACGGTAGACCAGTCAGGGTAGCATGAAAGCGTAATCCCAGCCCGGACGTCCAGGAAATGTTTTTTTTTTTTTTTGCAGTAACGCGCCGGGGCCTGATGATCACAAAGGCTCCCGCAGAAGCCTGTGTTTGATATGCTTGGAGCATCGCCATCGTGTGCAATGAAGCGACAGCCCGACCTGCTGCTGCATATGCCCTGGCATTAGAGCGAGATGTCAAGGAGGGAGTCTTAAAAGAGGACGTCTCATCCATAGAGAGATAGCTAGCCAGCGTCTCTCTATAGGGGCATCTTCCCATAACCGCTTTCGCGCATCGCCTCGATGTTGGCATAACTCGTATGCTGGAATCGATGGATGCGTGAGGAAAAAAGGGCCTCTTCCATTCCTTCTCAAACTCTGTATGGAAAACAGGAAGAAAAGAAGGCTCACCTGAGCTGGAGGGTTATGGCCAGAAAAATAACGTTCATCGAGATACTTCGCGACGTCACTTTCTTCACCCGCTTCACAGCAAGTAAAGCCTCGCCGTGGCGCAATCCATAATTTCCAAAAGCTCATCATACGCAGGGCAGGAGAATTGGGAAGGCTCAGCCTCAGCTTCTTTGCCCTCCTCAGACATTTCCTGCTTTTGCTGGGCTGATCCCAGCAGAGATTATATCAGACAATGTTAATGAAATAACATCATCCTCCAGCGGCTCACTCTCGTGCACAGCCGACGATCGCGAAAGGGAAACCCCTCTTCAAACTCATTGGCCAGATCCACCTGCGATCCCCACGAGCTCATTCCCTTCCGTGCCTCAGCAGCGGCGAGTCCTGAATCGCGGGAAGCAGACAGCTAATTCGCATATAACGCATAGATCATGTGTGTCATCAGATGTTAAACAACGTCAACACGGATGCACACATTCTTAAACACTTTGCTAGTGCTCGCCATAATGAGATGAATAGAGATCGCTCTTACCACAGAAATGCACGCTTCAAACAAAACAGTCAATGAAGACGAAGAAGAGAATGATGTGTGCTCCCGGCGCCTATTTATACTATAGTCGCTCCGGTAGTGACGTCATGGCTGTCGCCGGCCAACGAGTTGGTGTTTTTTCAATGTATGCTTCAGACATGGGTCACGACGAGGCGTTCCCCATAGTGACCCCTAGAGGACGCAGTTCGAAGTTCCCATGAAAGGGAAATGTATATTTTTTAAATGTGATTGTTGCTACATTTTACCAGTTTTTACCATACTTTCAAAACAAAAATTTAAATAGGAAAAATATGCAATATGAAAATAATTAAAGACAAAATGTGTTTTACTGAGAAAAAACAAGATTTGGTTTTTAAAAAGCCTTTTTCCAAAAGGTACATCTGGAAAAGGGGGGGTCGTCTTATATTCGGGCCAATATGGTACTTTTTACATATTGCATACATATTACATTTGTTACAGTTATTACGAATATATTATAAATATTATATATAATAATATAAATAGTCTTTGAGAGTTGTATTTCAGAGTTTTCTGTTTGATTTCTGTTCACTTGACATTTCTACAGAGATCATGAGGTCTAATGGGTTTTGCCTGGCAAACACAGAGACCATTGTGTTTGATGAGAGCATTCCACTGGACAAAGAGAGACCCTCCTCCACTGACTCAGCCCAGCACTCGTAAGTGTCCGACATTGCCTCTGTCATCCCAGTCCAAGTCTCAGAGTACATAACAATACAGGAAATGTATATCGATAATGATAAAGCTTTGTTGTCAGAGAGCCCTGATTACATTCATTTTTACATAAGCCATTGACAACATTCATGTAGTAATGTTTTCCTTGAGTGCATAGTAGTCTGTCACACACAGGAAGGGATACTTCCTTCCCTGGGTGTGAGAAGGAAGCTCTGGAATGAAACCCTCCCTATTAGATGTTTGATGAAATTACTCCCACACTAATACATGATTTACACAGTTCCTCCTTCCATCCCAAACACTGTTGACTAATACATAATGTGAAGTCGTCATCATCAAGATTTTTATTTCGGTCCTCCTACACAATTTCATAATAATTAAACAATATTTAAACAATAATTACATTTTTTTTTACAATTTTATAAAAAAGATTTAGACTGAAGTGGTTTTAAAGCTTGTAGTTTGAAGGTGTTACGTTGAAATTTGATTAAACAATAGTTTAATGGTTTAATAGAATGGAAAACTGTATTTACCTTGGCATAGTTGAATAATAACAGTTCTGTACATGGAAATGACATACCGTGAGCCTCAAACACCATTGTTTCCTCCTTCTCATGTAAATCTCATGCATGCAAAAGACCACTGAAAAATAGGCGAATCAGAACATAACACCAACCGTAACGTTACAGTCGGGATCACTAATAGTTACGCCCCCAACATTTGCTTATACCCGCCCATGTTCTATGCCAGCCGCCAGCCGAACCTGCACAGCCGAATCATCAGAAGTTCTGCAGGTATTGTGAAGAAACAAGTGAGGATAATAGCGAAAATGGCAGATCATGGAAATAAATGTTATGTTCCAGGCTGTGCAGGGGATGTGATGTGCAGGGATGGGTTGGTGTCTGTATTCAGAAAGGCACGGAAAACAAATAACGCGCGTACTAATGAAATAACACGAGCCACTAAAGGGACATGGTTAGCTGCTTGCTAGCGGTAGCCTGTTACAGGACATAAGATTTCACTTACCACATAAACAGAGTAAGGAGGGATGACTGAGGATAATGGCGAATGATTTACAGATCCTGAGCACCACTGACAAGTATCTGATCTTGTCAAATGTGGGGAAAGTACTGCCGCTGTAGTTTACACAGAGCACGTGGGATCGCAAATCTCGAAAGTGAAAGTAAAACGCGATTGTGCATTCGAACGCAGTTTCAATACCCCGCATATTAATATGCGGCTCCCTGATGCCCGCATTTTATATACAGTATAATTACCCAACGATATAACTGCGAGAGACTGTATTGAAATATATATTTTCCCTGTTATTTATAGTTTCCTTCCTGCTGTGTGAGCTACTAAAATGAGCCGCACTGTGATACAGCCAATCAGAGCAGAGCTCAACATTGAGACCATTTCATTCTAGGGAAAAATCCTTGGGTTGTAAATGGACATGTAAAACCGTTTCTGGAGATTTTTGAGATCTGGAGATAAAACCGTTCTCTGATATCTATGTAGATATCAGAGAACAATTTAAAATATTGTATCAATGCATTCTATGACACCTTTAAAGCATTACAAAGACAAGACAAACTGTTGTTTAGTTAATTTACAATCCTTCTCTCTTCCTTAGCATATAAATTAGATTTTTTTGTTGATATTGTGTGTTAGGGTTAGGTTTCCCTATATGGTACCTTCACACAGAAGGATGAATGTGTAGCGTCTGGACCAATCAGACACACCATTTTTCATTTGATTTAACAAATCAATTATTCATTAGATTAACAAATCGTCACAGTCCCCTCACCCAATAAACTGGATGCCAGGCTGTCTGCCACCCGGCCCCCCCGGTTACCATGGCAACCCTGACACCAGATACATTTACGACCTCCTGGAATTTAGGTGGAGAAAATCACTGCCTTGTCCATAAGGAAAATCCACAAGGGATGGACTTTTCTTTGCTAATTAATTAATTAATAGGAAAACCTTTCTTTGAATGAACACACATGATCCTTCAGGTCATTATGTATATTATTAGGCCCTTTCGCACCGCTTTAGTTCCAGAACTAAACGTACGGTACTAAAGTACTGGGACGATTTTGCGCGAATTATTTCCCAGTACTATTTATAGGGTTGCATTCGCACTGACAGTGTGTACTAAGAAGTGACGTAAGCCGGTCGACAGCGACGTCATTTGTGTGCGGCGTTCAACAATGTAAACAAAGAACAACATTAACAACAGGAGGATAAAGGACACTGTGATCGGAGCTGTGTTTTTGTTGTGTCTCGCGGGTTTCACAATAATGAACATGGAAAGTCGACGTATACGTAAAGCGATTGAAAGAACGGAAAGGAGGACTAAGAATCTCCAACGACAACTGGCAGTGCTACATTTGCTACAAGTGCCTGCACTTCAGCGTCCGTCCATCTAATAAAATAAATAGTCACTTAATCATGCAGATTTATGCTACAAGCTTTTGTAGAATTGTACAGTAAGAAAGTTATTTCCCTTAACCAGGAAATTAACGTTCTTAGAATTGACAAGACAGTTGACCCTGAGAGGTCAGCTAAATATCTACAGCGGGTCTAAAATATTCATAATTAATTATAACTAGTTATGATTAATTATTCATATTTCCCATGAGCTGATTCGTTACAAATGTATGGTACTGTGAAGTCCTGTTACAGCTTAAAAAGCAAACATGCTTCCTTTATGATAGAAGTAAGCTTATGATGCCTTAATACTGTATACTGTCCCAGCAGGCAGCTTGTTTTGGAGTTATATTGTTTCTTAAGATTTTTTTCATCTATCATTTCATGTATTAAAATGGTTGTATTATCTCTAAATATGCAGGTATGATGAGGATGGGAGAGAATCTTTGGATCCTGTAGATCAAGACCTGAGTGATGATGATCCTGAAGCTTACGTCACTAACCTGTCCTACTACCACCTGGTTCCCTTTGAAACTGACATCTTGGAGTAATGCAAACAATTTCTGCATGGGTGGACATTTACGGGGAGCACTGAATCCCACCTAAACAGTGCAGATCCAGCATGTAATTTCGGCCAAGTGATAGATGTGCCAGCGCTTATATTTTCTGATTAGTAGTGTTTATGACGGCAGGAAGAGTTTGAATGCAGAGATCGCTGCTTGCTTCCTGCTTTGACTTTGTCCATCAGATTGGTTGGCCTGAGCCAAAAATTACACTATATTCACCCACGTGCCTCATTATTCAACCTAGACTCATGCTGTAGCTGTACTACTAGGAACTAACATAATGAAGAAATAAGCTGCTATTCCTGGTGTACAGATTGATGGGGGCCTGAAAGATTTGTTTCATTTTCTTTTGGTTGTAAAGTTCAGGCTGTACTGTTTTTGAGGTTGTGATTCATTTTTTTCAAGGCCCAATGCCCAGAAAACCTGCCTGAAAAATGTTTTCTTCAGAAAGAGTCTACATTAGAAACAATGCTTTGGCATTAGTGGATGATCTGCAGATGCTCCTGGAGAAGAAGATCCACATAAGGATTTATCAAGATAGAATATTATCTTGATATACTGTATATGCCATTGTAACTTAAAATGCCGATTCAAATAGCCAACAACTGAAAAAAGGGTATATGTAAAATTGCAAACTCAGTTTATTAACGTTGTTCTGGGTTCTTTTATGACCTCTTGAATGAGTCGTCGTTGTGCTCTTGGAGTAATTTTGGTTGCCCGGCAACTCCTGGGAAGGTTCACCATTGTTCCAAGTTTTTTTAATTTGTGGATACTGGCTCTGACCATGGTTCGCTGGATTCCCAAAGCCTTAGAAATGGCTTTATAATCCTTTCCAGACTGATACATGTCAACTGTTTTGATTCTCATTTGTTCTTGAATTTCTTTAGATCGCAGCATGATGTGCTGCTCTTTAAGCATGCTTTACTTTATCAGACAGGTTATATTTAAGTGATTTCTTGATTCAACAGGTCTGGCAATAATCAGGCCTGGGTGTGGCTAGTGAAATTTAACTCAGCTTTCTAAAATAATGTGGTTAATTGCAGTTCTTTCATGATTTAACAGGAGGGGGCAATTAATTTTTCACGTAGGGCCACGTAGGTTTGGAGAGCTTTTTTCCCTTAATAAATGAAATCATCATTTAAAAACTGCATTTTGTATTTACTTGCATTATTTTTGTGTAATATTAAAATTTGTTTGATGATCTGAATCTTTTAAGTGTGACAAATATGCAAAAAAATTTAAAAACAGGAAGGGGGCAAAAACCTTTTCACACCACTGTAAAACCTTTGATTTTGTTATGAAATCACTGCTTTATTAATCTTAGTGTTAAGGGCATTGGGGTTAGCAAAATTAAGCTTGCAGATGTATAGTGGTGTCTTTCTTGTCAGACAATTTAAATCGCTCTCAGAAGATAATTTTATTAGCTTGTGGCCTCTTTTCTACTGAATGACTGTGGACAGTAGCTGAACTTTGTTCTTTTCTCTTGAATACAAAGGGCTTGCACACTCACTTGGCACATGGTGCCTAGTCCACACACACACACACACACCCTACTTTGTAATAGAATCATGTTTCCCCTCTACCCGTGAGAATGTTCTGCTCTTTTTTTAGTTAACAAATTTTGTAGCTTTAATAATCGCTCCCACTTTTAAAGCATACATATAGGAAGAATAAAATGATCTGAACTGTGGGAGACTGGGTCAAGTACACTCTTAAAAATAAAGGTGCTTCACAATGCCATAGAAGAACCTTTTTGGTCTAAATGGTTCCATAAAGAACCTTTAACATCTGAAGAACCTTTCTGTTTCACAACAGGTTCTTTGTGGCGAAAGAAGGTTCTTCAGATTATAAAAAGGTAAGAAAGAGATGGTTCTTTAAAGAACCTTTGACTGAATGGTTATTTGTGGAACCAAAAATGGTTCTTCTATGGCATCGCTTGAAGAACCTTTTGAAGCACCTTTATTTTTAAGAGTGTAACCGTATTAGAGAGCATATTTACATATTTTTTGCAACATGCAAGTGATCTGATGCTTAGTTAAATGTTTTTTTCTTCAAGATGCACATAATATATTTGAACATATCCTCTGACATGTCATATCCATCATGCCTAGCCATGAAATACTCCCTGTCTCACATCTAAACCTGGATGCATGTGAGCAAAGATATCACTAATGTCTTGTTGGACACAAACAAAGTGCAAGAAGGATAGACTGTGCTTAAAGTAATTAAAGTACATGGACATGACCAAATGCAGAGCACATTGCATATTAGGTATGATACATATCAGAGAAAAGATCCAAAAGAGGTTATTTTTGATCATTGGAATTTTGAGGTAATGATTATTTTTGCATTGAAAATAACATTGTCTGTTCTGTTATGATGCACATACTTTTATATGTAGCATTACGTGAATTATTTTTGACTGCTGGGCACCACATCATGTATTGCTAATTATAGTCATTTGTACAGTATATTTGAAATTAATTGCATAGCTTGTAAATAATTTATAAATAACATGCCATTAAAGCTTTTGTATAGGCTAAATAATGTTTAGTTTGTGTTATGATTTAGTTTGTTTTCTTCTTCAGAATAATCAGACTAGGTATAACAAACAATAATAACAAACCTGATCCTTGAAAGCAACTTTATTCACAGAAAGATATTCAAAATAACAAGTTGCAGCTCTCAAAATATGATTCCAAATAGCATCTAGCTATGTGTGTATAATATATATTTTTTTAACTGAAAAATGGACTTGGATTGATTTGTAATTTCTTCTTTCTGATGAGCTCCACTTTATGACAGCCATTATTAATTATTTAGAGTGTGCTGACACCTGCCGTTCACTCATAGTATTTTAAAACTAAGTTGTATAATATTACAAAAACAGTAGATCAAAAGTTTGTGGTCAGTAAGGTGTTGTATTTGAAAGAAATTAATACTTTAATTCAACAATGATGCACTAAATTGATTAAAAGTGACAGTAATGTCAATTAAAATGTTACAAAATAATTCTATTAAAAAAATACTGTTCTATTCAACGTTCATCAAAGCATTTTGAAAAACCTTATGACTATGACTGCTATCTAACTTTGGTCATATATATATATAATTTAATCCACTTGATCATGTGATCATGTCCATCATCAAATCTTTATTCCACTATGTGATAATGTAATATGACAGTTGTAAACGTTTTAAAAATCCAAGTAGGCTAATCAAAACTGCCTGTACATGAGGAGTCACCCATATAAAAGATGCTTGCTGAATCCGTTCAAGCCTGTAAAAGTACATGGCAATATCACATTAACTTAAGTCATTTTTTTCCCGGCGCTGGGTCTGCTGCTCCAATAGCCTACATCACATCAGCAGAAGTTGATGACTTTTATTTTGAAATATCCTAAAGTCGTGAACTTTATTTCTCAATTTCACTTTGTAACGCAATGGATCGCCAAATCACCGCTGTCCGTCCAGAACATCGATTTGACGCTAATAACCTGAAAAGATATCTGTCAGGGAAACTTGACAGCATTTCAGGCAACAGCACTTTAACTCTGCAGCAGTACAGGTACGAAATTTCACAACACACATAATTTTTCAAGTGCACCTCATGCAAACAAAACGCATGTTTTGTTTGTTATTTGTTCTATTGTACTTATTTGTTTTGAATAGAGCTGGGCAATCCAACCCAACGTTTTACATTGAGACTGCAGATAAACGTTATGTGCTCAGAAAGAAACCTCCAGGAGAGCTGCTGCCCGGAGCTCATAAGGTAACGTTACTGTGTTCTGTACGTATGTGAAACTTCAGGATAACTGAATAACTGATTATTTGTAGAATACTTGCAGTGTAGAATTGAATGTAATTGGAATGTTGAGTTTAATATAGTTTATTTGGGTCAATCCAGCGCTGTTGTGATCATGCAAAAAGGACTTTGGCACCAGTGATTGTCCAACTTGACAACACAACACAAATGTATAGAGGTGCATCTCAATAAATTAGAATGTCGTGGAAAAGTTCATTTATTTCAACTCAAATTGTGAAACCCGTGTATTAAATAAATTCAATGCACACAGACTGAAGTAGTTTAAGTCTTTGGTTCTTTTAATTGTGATGATTTTGGCTCACATTTAACAAAAACCCAGCAATTCACTATCTCAACAAATTAGAATATGGTGACATGCCAATCAGCTAATCAACTCAAAACACCTGCAAAGGTTTCCTGAGCCTTCAAAATGGTCTCTCAGTTTGGTTCACTAGGCAACACAATCATGGGGAAGACTGCTGATCTGACAGTTGTCCAGAAGACAATCATTGACACCCTTCACAAGGAGGGTAAGCCACAAACATTAATTGCCAAAGAAGCTGGCTGTTCACAGAGTGCTGTATCCAAGCTTGTTAACAGAAAGTTGAGTGGAAGGAAAAAGTGTGGAAGAAAAAGATGCACAACCAACCGAGACAACCGTAGCCTTAAGGCCCGTTCACACCAAGCACGATAACAATAAAGATATGTGATAAAGATATATATGATCGTTCTCAATATTAAAGATTAGCATAGTTCACACCACAACTATAACGATAACGATACAGAGGAACGATATCGTTGTGATCACTTTCAAAACAATTTTTTTTCCAGCTGATGGAACGATAAAACACTGACAGCCAATCAGAATCCATCCTGCTGTAACGAGCTCAAGAATTTAAAGCGGCAGACGCATGTGCGCTTAGAATAAACAGACGATATCGTTCGCTGGTGTGGACGCTAATATCGTTATCTTTATAGTTATCGTTCTTGGTGTGAACGGGGCTTTATGAGGATTGTCAAGTAAAATCGATTCAAGAATTTGAGTGAACTTCACAAGAAATGGACTGAGGCTGGGGTCAAGGCATCAAGAGCCACCACACACAGATGTGTCAAGGAATTTGGCTACAGTTGTCGTATTCCTCTTGTTAAGCCACTCCTGAACCACAGACAACGTCAGATGCGTCTTACCTGGGCTAAGGAGAAGAAGAATTGGACTGTTGCCCAGTGGTCCAAAGTCCTCTTTTCAGATGAGAGCAAGTTTTGTATTTCGTTTGGAAACCAAGGTCCTAGAGTCTGGAGGAAGGGTAGAAGCGCTCATAGCCCAAGTTGCTTGAAGTCCAGTGTTAAGTCCACAGTCTGTGATGATTTGGGGTGCAATGTCATCTGCTGGTGTTGGTCCATTATGTTTTTTGAAAACCAACGTCACTGCACCCGTTTACCAAGAAACACTTCATGGAGCTCTTCATGCTTTCTTCTGCTGACCAGCTTTTTGAAGATGCTGATTTCATTTTCCAGCAGGATTTGGCACCTGCCCACGCTGCCAAAAGCACCAAAAGTTGGTTAAATGACCATGGTGTTGGTGTGCTTGACTGGCCAGCAAACTCACCAGACCTGAACCCCATAGAGAATCTATGGGGTATTGTCAAGAGGAAAATGAGAAACAAGAGACCAAAAAATGCAGATGAGCTGAAGGCCACTGTCAAAGAAACCTGGGCTTCCATACCACCTCAGCAGTGCCACAAACAGATCACCTCCATGCCACGCCGAATTGAGGCAGTAATTAAAGCAAAAGGAGCTCCTACCAAGTATTGAGTACATGTACAGTAAATTAACATACTTTCCAGAAGGCCAACAATTCACTAAAAATGTTTTTTTTATTGGTCTTGTGAAGTATTCTAATTTGTTGAGATAGTGAATTGGTGGGTTTTTGTTAAATGTGAGCCAAAATCATCACAATTAAAAGAACCAAAGACTTAAACTACTTCAGTCTGTGTGCACTGAATTTATTTAATACACGAGTTTCACAATTTGAGTTGAATTACTGAAATAAATGAACTTTTCCACGACATTCTAATTTATTGAGATGCACCTGTATAACGTTAAGTGACCCCAGTGGTGAACGTGATTTCACCAAGTACAACATGTTCCTGGATCAACATTTAATCAACCAATCAGAATAAAGGGATAACTTCTCAGGAAATGTCAATTTTAGGCTTACGTTCAGGGTTGCTTCTACACCCTTGTTAATCAGCTATAATTTTCCTCTGATTTTAGGAATAAATTATGGGTAGGGTTAGGTTTAGGGGTAGGGATTGGGTTAAATCTATATATTTTTTTAAAGTTATGTTGATCTTGGATCAACAAAGGATGTTGATCCAGGAACATGTCTTACTTGGCAAAATCACGGCGACCGTGAACCAGTAGAGGGAGACAGAACCAAATATATTTTTTAAATTAATTAATTAATTTATTGATGCCTATTTCACGTAACAAAAACTGTATTTTTGTTTCAATCAAGAAGCCAATCTGCTGTCATAATATGTACTGGTTAATTGTTATGTCTAATTTTTCTATATTGATGATGCATCTCAGATGCGATGTGATATCTCGGATGTGATATAATGGAATATAATAGAGATATAATGTGAATAATGGTAATTTTAGATGACCTTTCGGATGTATTTAATTATAAAACGCTTTATAATCTATAATAATATTAAACTTATTTCATATTTTCTCCAAACCATCTTGAATATTAAGACTTTCACCTGCAATTCTGGCCAAATTAAAGATGCATTGTGTGTGAATTTGCACATGTTACCTTGTGTTTAATAAAAAAAAAAAAGATTGATTAGTGAAATGAAAGAATGATTTAATAAAAAATTGGAATGATTAGTAATTGTCTCTGATTGGCCTGTTTAGCTAAGCCCTCAAAACGCATCTTATTTACTGGTACAGTATTGCATGATTTGTAGATTATAATTAATAGTTTACACTTTGTATAAACATTTGCAATTCGTTTTTAAAAGGTAACATTACATTCTTAAGGACTCCATGCTTGCATTTATTTTCAGGAGCACTTGTGAAGGAGCACTTCATATTTGAATCCTTTTTTTAAAACCTTTGTAATGCTTCCAACTTTATTAAATGTATGCCATCTTTTGTGCCAAAAAAATGTAGATTTATGAACTCTTATAAATTTTTTTTATCAAATAATAAATTCAGTTAAAATAATAAGATACAATCAGGAAGAATAAGTTACTAATCAAATGAAATCAGCATCAACCATTCATCTTTGCACGGCACAGAAGAGCACAAATGTGGCATTACAGAATTTTTGACAAGACTCAGAGGTGGCATCAATGCATCTCATAATAACAATGTTATAAAATAATGTTTTAAATATAAAGTTTTGAATATAGAAATATTAAACAATTTAAATGACTCAATTTATACTTTAAAAATGAAACTGAAACCACCAGTAGGTGGCAGCAAGTCACTGCATCTTTCATTCAATCGATTCGTTCAAATGGCTGATTAATTTAGGAACGAAGCAAGTGACTCACTTTATGACTCACTAGATTTGATCAAAAACGCAGATTCATTCATAAACGAAACAGCTATGTTTGCCTGGAGATGCGCAGCGGCTCAGCTGTGATTTATTTCAGAATCAGAAGAGCTTTATTACCAAGTATGTTTACACACACAAGGAATTTGACTTGACTGCAGGAGCTTCCAGTGCAGTAGAAAGTACAGACATAGTGCAGGCATAATTATTTTCATTGACAAAGCAAATTAGACAACAGTGTTCCTAAATCTATGTCACTTAATATTAACTTATGTATAAAATAAAAAATTTATAAAACCGTTGTATAAATAAAATTTTACTCTATATAATTCTGTCACTCATCTTAGTTCATCGCAATCTCACAAACTTCAATTTTAATTAATGAGGCTCTCTACACTGCACACTGAATATATTATTTACATCTTCTTTACACTTTGTTTGTTATAATGAATGACAAAATGACTGCAGTCAGCTTTCACGATCTGTTCTGTGAGCTGGAGCAGCATGCGGACCGATAGAGAAGTATTTCTGTTAGCTGCAGTCTGCAGTTTATTATGGACAATCACAAAAGACGGCATTGCACAGTGAATCGTAGACACAAATATATCGAGCTAGGTTTATGTGCAGAATTGGGAGTGCTTTCGTAGTCTTTTGAATGGATAAAATATAGAAATCACTTTAATTTCCAAATAAACCTAACCAGTTGGAAATGTCAGTGAATTATTTATTTCATCTAAATAATTACATGAATTGCTCAATAATTAATCTAATTAGTTGGAAGTAATTATTTATCAGTATTTGCAGAGAAAAAACTGCAAATGCCCCAAATAAACAATTAAAAGATTAATTATTGTTACAGACAGGGACGTTGAAGAGACAACACAAAAAGAGGCCTTTCAGAAAGTTAATGTTGTATGTTTTAATTCTCCTCATTAATTCAAAACAAGTTCTTCTGTTTGCACGTTTCTGGCCTCTGCTGCTCTTTAAAGGGACAGTCCACCCAAAAATGAAATATTTAATCTTTAATCAGTTTAATAAACCAACAAGCTAAAAATATTATTAATTTACATTACTTAAAATTAAGCTGAAATAACAAAATATACATATTAGATAAAAACTGTTTAAAAAAACAATAATAATGTTAACAAACTACAATTACTAAAAGTTAAATAAAAATAAATATAAGCTAAATAGAAACATAAAAAAGCAAAACCTTATAACAAAAATGACTAAAATATAAACAACATTTTTTTATGAAAGTCAAGTAATTTAAAATGTAAATAAATACAACAATAGTATATTAGTAATACTAAGCTAACACGGAAACAAACAGGACATTTTTTCTTATTTAATGTTCAATGTCAGTTATGTATAATGTAATGTTTTATTTCTGTGAACA